CAGAGGAGAGGCCCATTCTTTCGTTCCCACAAGCCATGCTTGGAACAGGGGTAGGACTGAGAGGAGGGCCTCCTCTGATGACCGCAGTGTCCAAGTTGGTCTATAGTGGGAGAAGCGGTTTGTTAAATATTAGGTTATTTGTGGTGAAATTAGGTACTTCAGCTTATATTTGGGTTGGCTTATACTCAAGTATATACGGTATATTTATTTCTAGCTTTTGTAGTTGAGCTCAATGCTAGGATTCACAATTGTGCTGCATTCCATCATTCCCCAAATCAGCATAGCTCTTATAAGAGTTTGTTATGAGTAATGGGGGAAAGGAGCTGCACTTAATTTAAAATATATCAGCTCCATAGCAGAACTGGGGCCGTGGGACAGACAGGTCACGGTTCCATTTGCCCCTTTTTGAAATCCATCTATTTATAATATTGATGTGCCACCGAGCCGCCAGTGCCCTCTTTATTCCATGGCTTCTTCCCACCCTAACATCCATCTTCTAATTGCCAGACAAGACCTCCTGAGATATAGTAGGCTGCTGAGAAATGTAAATTGAGAGGAAGGCTCCCTTTTATAACCAGCAGGGATTAAAATACACAATCTCCCAAGCCTCCTATTTATTGCGGAAATTCAAGGGGCAGATCGGGGTAGAGGATGGAAACAGAGGACATTACTGAGAAAGAAAAATAAATGAATCTCCAACTGTTCGTTGATGAAGTGAGATCGTATTGAACTAAGCCGCAATGTAAACTTTATTAAAGGTCACCCTAATGAATAGCTTAATTCTAGAATTATAAATTAACTCATGTGGTTTTTGCTTTGTGAGCAACTGTGCTTTTCTGGATCTAACCATCCCGCAAATGCATGACCATAAATGCATCGAGAGAAAAATCAAGTTGAGCCCATACGCCTATGCTTCCATCTGCTGGTCCATATAATTCATTGCAACCCAGATATGCGACTTTATTTCTTTCTCATAGAAACATACTGGAAATAGAAACTGCTGGTTTTCATTGTCATGTGTGAAAATCATCAGCTATGTCAATTCTGCATTGTCCAAAAAGATTGTCCTACATGCATCGTGCAAGTTTCACTTGCTTTTGCCTCCAACAGGATTCTGGTTTTTAAGGCTAATGTATAACATTCAGGCCAATTCTACCTTTTGGCATAATCTTGGTCATCCCTATCATTTCACATAACAGGGCAAATGCTTTTGACTATGAGCCAGAGTGGTATCTCCCAAGTTGTTCCTTGTGAATGCTTTGCTCATTTTGAGGGACAAGCCTATGTGTTGCAAAAGACTGGCCCTGTATCCTCTAACCCAGCCTATTGCTTTACAGCGTGGTGGAGGAGCTATTCCCTTAGAAGTGCTAAATGAAGGTTTAGCTGCCACTCTGTTCAGCTTCTGTATCTATATAAATAAAAATGTAATATTCGTTTGCGGGATTAACATAACTCGAAAACTACTGGATGAATTGACACCAAATTTGGACACAAGACACCTCTCAGGCCAACGAGTGACCATCACTCATAAAAACACTGAAAAACACAGCAGAAGGGACTTAAAAACATTACAACACACGCACAAAACCACATATATATACACAAACACACATATATACACACATATTCATACACATACGCACACAAAACACATACACAGAAAGGAGGGAGGGAGGAGAGAAGGAGGGAGAGAAGGAAGGAAAGAAAGAAGGGTAGAGAAGGAAGGAAGGAGGGAGAGAAGAAGGGAAAGAAGGAGGGAAGGAAAGAGAAAAAAGAAAGAAACGTAGAGAAGGAAGGAGGGAGAGAAAGAGGTTGAGAAGAAGGAGGGAAGGAGAGAAGGAAGGAAAAAAGGATAGGGAAGGAAGGAAGGAAGGAAGGAAGGAAGGAAGGAAGGAAGGAAGGAAAGAAGGAGAGAAGGAGGGAGAGAAGGAGGGAAGGAAGGAAAGAAAGAAGGGTATAGAAGGAAGGAAGGAGGGAGAGCAGAAGGAAAGAAGGAGGGAAGGAGAGAAAGAAGAAAAGAAAGAAAGGCAGAGAAGGAAGGAGGAAGAGAAAGAGAGAGAGAAGAAGGAGGGAAGGAGAGAAGGAAGGAAAAAAGAAGGATAGAGAAGGAAGGAAGGAAGGAAGGAAGGAAGGAAGGAAGGAGGGAAGAAGATAAGGAAGGAAAAAAAGAAGAGTAGCGAAGGAAGGAAGGAGAGAAGGAGGGAGAGAATGAAATAAAAAAGTGAAAGAGGGAAGAAAGGAGAGAAGGAGCGAAAGAGAGAAAGAGGGAGGGAAGGAAGGAAGAAGGAAGGATGGAACCAAAGAGCAAAGGAAGCGAGAAAAGAAACAGATAAAGAAGGAAGAAAGAAGAAGGGAAAGAAAATGAGGGAAGGAAGGAATGAGGGAGGGAAGGAAGGAAGAAAAGAAAGAAAGAAAGAAGGAGAGAAAGAGGGAGGGAAAGTTGGTCACAGCAACGCGTGGCGGGTACAGCTAGTATTGAATAGAAATAGGCATCACCTTTTGTTTCAGGCAGCAAAATGTCTTGACAGGACCTTGCAACTAGGACAATATTCTCTACTTTCATGTGGGATTTTTCCCCCCATCCATCCTCCTACCTCACCCTGACTTAATAATCTGTGACATACGTGTATGCCCTGGAAAAATTAAATGATGCTATCAGCCTTTCCCTCCAGAAAAAAACAAAATTTAGAACAGGGGAAATCAGGTACCTTATTACATTAAACAGCTATATCAAAGGCTTTCTAAGACATCAACGGAAACTGCTGTAGGGAAGGATTTCTGCCACTATTTGTCAGCATTTCAAGGGAAATAGTGGGGTGGGGGGGGAGGAAGGAAAAGAAGACGGAAGTCAAGTAACATTTGGAAGCAGTAATTCCATCCAAAACCTTGGATTGCTGTTGCAAAGAGAGAATGCAAAGGCTGGAAAGAGTAGGTCAATATCTGGAGGAGATGAAAGGCAGCGGAGAAATTGGCTGATCACTATTCAGATCTTGTGCAGTCCCACCTTCCAGAAAGGGTAATTAAAGCCACGTTCTAATTAACATGTACTTTGCTCCCGATCAGAAGCATCCTTTGCAGAAAAGGGGGGGGGGGGGCTAAAGAAGGCTGGGAGAAAAAGAGCTCTTCCTTGTGGATCTAACTAAGGAAATTGGACCCAATCTTTGAGACATAATTTAGAATAGGGGAAAAATAGAAAAAAGAAGGGGTGAAAGGGAGGGAGGGGGAGAGAGAGAGGATTCTTTTAATGGTTAGGTGCAAAAGTGTCCAGCCTTCTCATCAACTGTACTGTATAAAGCTATTGTCCTCCCAACCATTCTATATGCCTGCAAAACGTGGACTGTCTACAGACGTCGCAGGCAACTCATGGAACAATTCCATCAGCGCTGCCTCCGGAAATCTCTTGGGAAGACAGACGGACAAACGTCAGCATGCTGGAAGAAGCAAAGACCACCAGCACTGAAGAGATGCTCCTCCGCCATCAATTCCGTTGGACTGGCCACGTTGTCCGGATGCCCAACCACCATCTCCCAAAGCAGTTGCTCTATTCCGAACTCAAAAATGGAAAATGGAATGTTGGTGGACAGGAAAAGAGATTTAAAGATAGGCTCAAAGCCAACCTTAAAAGCACTGGCATAAACACTGAGAACTGGGAAGCCCTGGCCCTTGAGCACTCCAGCTGGAGGTCAGCTGTGACCAGCAGTGCTGCAGAATTTGAAGAGGCATGAATAGAGTGCGAAAGAGAGAAACGTGCCAAGAGGAAGGTGCATCAAGCCAACCCTGACTGAGACCGCCTTCTACCTGGAAACCAATGCCCTCGCTGTGGGAGAAGATGCAGATCAAGAATAGGGCTCCACAGTCACCTACGGACCCACCAGAACACTCATCTTGGAATACTATCCTACTCGGCCAATGAGGGTTCACCTAAGTAAGTAAATAAGTAAGTAAGTAACTGTATTCATGCACAAATGCATTCATAGGATATGTAGTATTTTAAGGCATTTGTAGCCACTTCTAGATTGAGGACAGTTATTGACACAGAGCTGAAGGTCATGCTAACTGAATCCCACTCTTCCTGAACTTCCATTACAACCAAATCCAAGATAAGGTCTATAGACAATTAGAGTTAGAACCACTGAATCTATTTTTGCTTTAACAGTAATTTTCAAAAACCCAAGATTCTGCATCAAAATGTGTAAAGTTACAGTGTCATAGCTGCCGCTCTAATAGGATACGCAACCTTTTTTGTAAACTGTGAACGAAGTGCATCCTATGTGGTGCCTTGTTTGCAATGGGAGTTCCTGTTGAGTCTCCTAATATTCTGGCATTACATAGCACTCTGGTGGCCACTGTAAAATAAGATTCATGGCACAATCATCCAACGGTTAGCTCTGCTTGCACAACTTCCAGTTTTGAAGGAATGGCAAAATATCAAGAAAGATCACCATCATCATTATAGTCATCATCATAACAGAATTTTCAAGTGTTGGCCCAGTATTCAAAAACTGACGGAATGGACCTACCTTCACTGAATGGACCTACCTTCACTGAATGGACCAACCTTTACTGTGATTGCTAATAAGATTGAGGCCTGCATGCAAAATGCTTGCTAAAAGGCACTGATGATGTTGACCTATCCTTCCTGACCCCTCTTCTAGCCTCAAATGCAAGCTGGGAGGAGGAGGTTCTCACCTAGGATGTACGTGGATAGGCCAAGCATTGTTTTGGCTGATGGTGCTCAAAGTCTTCCATTTTAGCAGGGCAATGAATCCAGCACATAATTTGTATTGATTTATCCATGGCACTGAACCTTATCTCAGCACCTTGGGTAGCTCCATTACAAACTAAAACCTGAAGTCAATTTACTATCTCACTGAAATGGGAGGCACCAACTGCCATTAACATCTGAGTCTGTTGTAGTTTACCTGGTTCCTGATTCTCTTGTTGGTCTTCAGAACACCTTTTGACCCCCAATGTTCACTGTCTGCTTTACTTCTTTCCAGATGGATAGAAGTGAGTTCCAGCAGGATTCAGTTCTGAAGCAGCTGGAGGTGCTCAAAGAAGAAGAGAAGGAGTTCCAGAAGGTACGTGCTTACAGAATCCAAACTGCTCATTCTTTTTAGTTAGATGTTATCTGCGAGTAATAGCTAACCCCAAAGAACCCTCTGGTGTCTCATCACACAAAACCCTGTCTTTTTCTCCCACCTGTTGCTAAGGTTTGCATGGGTACAATTTCCTTTCCTACCTTAATTAATAAAGTGCTTTGGCACTGGGTTGTTGTAGGTTTTTTTGGGCTGTATGGCCATGTTCTAGAGGCATTCTCTCCTGATGTTTCGCCTGCATCTATGGCAAGCATCCTCAGAGGTAGTGAGGTCTGTTGGAAGTAGAAAAATGGGTTTATATATCTGTGGAATGACCAGGGTGAGACAAAGGACTCTTGTCTGCTGGAGCTAGGTGTGAATGTTTCAACTGACCACCTTGATTAACAGACCTCACTTCCTCTGAGGATGCTTGCCATAGATGCAGGCGAAACGTCGGGAGAGAATGCCTCTAGACCATGGCCATACAGCCTGAAAAAACCTACAACAACCCAGTGATTCTGGCCATGAAAGCCTTCGACAATGCTTTGGCACTGTTCTCTGGATGCTTGGAAGATGCCTGAGAGAGTGGATGTTCAATCAGGAGAAACTGGACATCTCCTTCTGTAATTCCAAAACAGGATATGTGCACATAAAACTTCAGGATTCTGGCCTATGTCTCATTCCACGGAACTGACAGATGGGAGTTCACCCCCATCCATGAGTTAAACCAGTGGTTCTCAACTTGTGGGTCCCAAGATGTTTTGGCCAGAAATCCTAGAATGTTTGGCCAGAAATCCTAGAAATCCCAGAACTAGATGTTTTCGCCAGAACTCCCAGAAATCCTAACAGCTGGTTAAATGGCTGGAATTTCTGGAAGCTGTAGGCCAAAACACCTGGGGACCCACATATTGAGAACCACTGATCACTGTAGAATGAATGCAGTTTGACAATACTTTCTTCTTTGGCACTTCCTGTGGTGGTGGTCCTCCTCCTTCCCCAGCAGGACTCTTAAAGGGACAATGCCCTTGTGGTGGGGAAGAAGGAAGGGGCTCCAAGGGCAGAATGAACATAGCCTGGCATTTCTTGAACTGCCATCACTCAAGGCTATGGAGTAGCCTGGGGAGCTGTAGTTTAGGGAGGGAAGGTCAGGAAAGAAGGGGAGGAAGGGGAGCCCTGAAGTGAGGCAGCAATGTCTGTGTGCTTAGGGCAAAATCATACATGCCCTTAGAGAGGGTTTTGAGTGCCTTCCTGGCGTGCATGCCATAGGTTTGCCACCACTGCCCTCGAGTAATGATTCCTCAAAAGACCCATAGAAACAAAAAGGTCTTCACATGTCTACATAAGGATAGTAAAGAGGGTGGCAGTTCTCCTCTATAGTTCCAATTTGTTCTCTGACTGTGAGAGCCGTTCAGCAGTGGAACTCTCTGCCCCGGAGTGTGGTGGAGGCTCCTTCTTTGGAAGCTTTTAAACAGAGGCTGGATGGCCATCTGTCAGGGATGATTTGAATGCAATATTCCTGCTTCTTGGCAGGGGGTTGGACTGGATGGCCCATGAGGTCTCTTCCAACTCTTTGATTCTATGATTCTATGATCTCACTTTTTCAACTACTTTGAAAACATTCTGTTTTTTATCTCCCTGTCACTTTGTCTTTATTTTATTTCACTTACTACAAGTAAGTAAGTAAAGTTTATTACGGTCGATGACCAGATCACAACATGGGGACCCAGTCCCATACAGTCACATCAAAACCAAGGGGTCATACACTTCAAACTTCAACAAATTTTAAAATCTAAACTAAAAACCAATACAAGTAGCTATTAAAACCTAACTTAACCCACAAGATCATCCAACACAGTCCAAAGAGAGGTAGTGGGAATGGCACCGGGGAGGGGGGGAAATATCCAACCCTATAAATATCAGTCTATATGTGATTTCCCATCTATATTCCAGAGGAGAAGCTTACGTCTTTTAACCCACTTGCTACAACTTGAGCTCAAGTTGTTCAAGTAGTTTGTGCTTAGTTAACTCAATAGAAGGAATGGAAAGGAAGGACTGTTTCTTGCTCTTCCCTGTAGGTTCAGGCAAATGGAAACTGCTGCAACCTCCCCAAGTTTTTGTGCCCTTCTTAATTAAATGATCAAGGGTCTGGAGAACAAGCCCTATGAGGAGCAGCTTAAGGAGCTGGGCATGTTTAGCCTGAAGAAGAGAAGGCTGAGAGGAGATATGATAGTCATGTATAAATATGTGAAAGGAAGCCACAGGGAGGAGGGAACAAGCTTGTTTTCTGCTTCCCTGGAGACTAGGACACGAAACAATGGCTTCAAACTACAAGAAAGGAGATTCCATCTGAACATGAGGCAGAACTTCCTGACTGTGAGAGCCGTTCAGCAGTGGAACTCTCTGCCCCGGAGTGTGGTGGAGGCTCCTTCTTTGGAAGGTTTTAAACAGAGGCTGGATGGCCATCTGTCAGGGGTGGTTTGAATGCAGTATTCCTGCTTCTTGGCAAGGGGTTGGACTGGATGGCCCATGAGGTCTCTTCCAACTCTTTGATTCTATGATTCTATGATTCTAATTAATAATTTTTGCCATTTTGACCATCCTCTAACACTGCTTGGCCACAACTAGTCGTGGTTTCTCCCTGTAAAATGTTGGAAGCTATGATTGCAGTCTAACCTTACTCAACTTTTCCCAATTTTCCCAGGATCCTACAAATGGCTATTACAGTGTGAATACTTTCAAGGAGCACCACTCCACCCCGACCATCTCTCTTTCGGGCTGCCAGCCAGACATGAGACCAGCCAACAAGCAGCGTGTGCCCACTGGCATGTCCTTCACCAACATCTACACCACCCTGAGTGGGCAGAACCGGCTCTATGACTACAGCCAGCGCTTTGTCTTGGGCATGGGGAGCAGCTCCATCGAGCTGTGCGAGCGGGAATTCCAGCGGGGCTCCATGAGCGACAGCAGCTCCTTTCTGGACACGCAGTGCGACAGCAGCGTCAGCAGCAGTGGCAAGCAGGATGGCTACGTACAGTTCGACAAGGCCAGCAAGGCCTCAGCTTCATCTTCTCATCATTCGCAGTCCTCCTCTCAAAACTCAGACCCCTCCCGACCATTGCAGAGGAGAATGCAGACCCATGTGTGAAAGGGGGAAGAGGACAGGACTGGAAATGGAGAAGGCCGGGAGGGAGAGCAGGACGGGTCAGGACAGACCACCAAAGGAGCTGGCCACAGTAGTCAGCCATCCCAAAGCCTTGCCCTGCCAACAGGTGGGGGGCTGTTGGACATCTGCCCATTCCAGATGGGTTGGAGGCTGTTCTCTCATTTTATTTGCATTCTGGTGGCTTTTAATTCCCAAAGGCTTTCTTCCACCTCTCCCCTTTCTTTAGAGTAAAACGTTCAAGGTGACGGGAGCAAGAAGAAGCCTGTGCTGGAGATAAAACTGTCCAAGCAAAGATTGGAAGACCTTCCTTCCTACACCCTTTGACCACTATTACGCAGGTGGGGAGAATCCACGACAGCTGAACCCAAACTAATTTTAAGCACAACGTCTGTTTTCTTCCTGTAGCAGGCTGGTTTTAAGGGAATGGGAGTGCAGAAAGGCAAGCTCAAGACACTTCCGTGTTCTTTTGTGCAATGTGTTGCCTATACTTTCAGAAAGAGAGAAAGGCCAAACTTCCAAACTCAACTCCAGAAGAGTACAGACATCCACAGTCTTTAGTGGGACACTAGGAACACCTGCTTCCCCTCACCTTTTGTTTCAAGTAAGATGACCTGCCTGGCCACAAAATGTCTTGAGACAGGACATGGTCTTCCTGTTGACCAGCCATTTTATACTTCTCAGCTCATGCGGTGCAGAGCACTTTCTACTCGAGCTGAGGAGGACAGCCATAAATGCTACCTTTCTAATATTCCTCTCATGGTGGTTGCTTCATGGAGACAAGAGGATTGGTGCTCCTAGTGGTTTCTCCCACTTCCTCTTCATTTATGATACCACTGCCAGACTGTGGACATTGCAAAGAAGGTCCACCTGCAACGTTGTGAAGTACACCAGCCAACTCTTCTTCCCAATGCTTTAGCCTCATGTGCAAAACTCTAAACCCGTCCCCCAAAATGTGTTCTTCAAGCAACCTCAAAGAGTGTGGCTTCATTTAAGGAAGTTCTGTGTGAGAGGGTGGGAGGGGAACAGCCATTGGTGTAACTTAATGTACACTCTGAATTTGAGTCTTCTTTATTTTTCTTTCTCTTTTTGTTTGGTGTTTAGTGTTCATAATATTACAGTGTGTCCTTGGACTAAAAAAACAATTGGAGTTGAGAACTTTTAAAGAGTTGCGTCTCAGAAGAATACACATTGCCAGACACGCACTTACATGTACAAGAATACTATCAGTTGAAAGGAACTGTTGGTAGATGGAGGACTGAGCTAAATCCGAGAGCCATGTGACAATCACGGAAAAGACACACCGAGAGTGGGAGATGGAGAGCCAACACAGAGCATTGTTCTCACTGCTTCTTGTGTATTTCTGTCCCCTTCCTCTTCCCGTGTCTCTTCTTCCGTCTCCATCAGTAGCACAATTGGAAGATTAATACAATAATTGTTACAAGCACTTTTGTAGTGGGCTCATTTGAAAGTTCGCCAAATGGAAGATTCTCATTCCAAAACAAACATGACACAAGCATTTGGTGCCAAAGGCAACATCTGGAAGTCAATTTGGTGCTTTACGTGGGCTAAATATAAACAGGCAAGAAGCAAGTCGAGAAAATGTCAGCGGTAGCAGATATTCAGAAGCTAAGTAGCTTCTGCATGGTCACCACTACTCTCTCAGTTGATTCCACCTACTGTGTTGTAAACTGTTACCAAACAGCCCAATAGTTTTGGGAAGGTATGGCAGTCAACTTCCATCACTCCCAGCCAGGACGGAAATGGAAGGAAATGCTGGATAAATTGGTTTTTCCGTTTCTAGTGGATACTCTGGTGACCTGAATGTACATTTGACTTCCTTCTCATATGACATTTGCAGATCATTCCAGTCTTCTTTAGGCATTGATTGTACAGACTTACTTTTATACATAAGAAGCACTGACTAAAGGAAGTGTGTTAAGGGGCCCACTCAAACTACAGAAGTATAGTTCGTTCCCTTATGAGATTTTGGCCTGCATAAATAGGAGTATAGATCCAGGGAAGTCATGCTACACCTCTATTCTGCCTTGGTCACACCACACCTGGAATACTGTGTCCAATTTTGGGCACCACAATTGAAGGGAGATGTTAACAAGCTGGAATGTGTCCAGAGGAGGGCGACTTAAATAATCAAGGGTCTGGAGAAGAAGCCCTATGAGGAGCGGCTTAAAGAGGAGGGCGACTTAAATTATCAAGGGTCTGGAGAACAAGTTCTGTGAGAAGTGGCTTAAAGAGGAGGGTGACTTAAATAATAAAGGGTCTGGAGAACAAGCCCTATGAGGAGTGGCTCAAAGAGGAGGGCAACTTAAATAATGAAGGGTCTGGAGAACAAGCCCTATGAGGAGCGGCTTAAAGAGGAGGGCGGCTTAAATAATCATGGGTCTGGGGAACAAGCCCTATGAGGAGCAGCTTAAAGAGAAGGGCGATTTAAATAATCAAGAGTCTGGAGAACAAGCCCTATGAGGAGTGGCTTAAAGAGGAGGGTGGCTTAAATAATCAAGGTTCTGGGGAACAAACCCTATGAGAAGCGGCTTAAAGAGGAGGGCAGCTTAAATAATCAAGGGTCTGGGGAACAAACCCTATGAGGAGCAGCTTAAAGAGGAGAGCGGCTTAGATAATCAAGGGTCTGGGGAACAAGCCCTATGAGGAGTGGCTTAAAGAGGAGGGTGGCTTAAATTATTAAGGGTCTGGGGAACAAGCCCTATGAGGAGCGGCTTAAAGAGGAGGGCGACTTAAATAATCAAGGGTCTGGAGAACAAGCCCTGTGAGGAGCGGCTTGAAGAGCTGGGCATGTTTAGACTGCAGACAGGGGCGGCTCAACCCACTACGCAAAATAGGCATTTGCAGTATAGTTGATTTTGCCCAGGGGTGCTCTTGAGGCGCTCTTGGGGGGAAACAGACCTTGACATATGCGAGTTGTAGTTATTGGGATGTATAGTTCACCTACAATCAAAGAGCATTCTGAACTCCACCAATGATGGAATTGAACCAAATATGGCACACAGAACTCCCACAACGAACAGAAAATATATATCAGTGATTGGTTGGGGGAGGGGGCAAAATACTGTTTGCTTACCATTGAAAATTGCCTATGGCCGCCTCTGACTACAGAAGAGAAGGCTGAGAGGAGACATGATGGGGGTCATGTATAAATATGTAAGGGGAAGTCATAGGGAGAAGGTAGCAAGCTTGTTTTCTGCTGTCCTGGAGACCAGGACGCGGAACAATGGCTTCAAATTCCATCTGAACATGAGGAAGAACTTCCTGACTATGAGAGCTGTTCAGCAGTGGAACTCTCTGTCCCAGAGTGTGGTGAAGGCTCCTTCTTTAGAGGTTTTTAAACAAGAGACTGGACAGCCATCTGTTGGGGGTGCATTGAGTGTGATTTTCTTGCTTCTTGGCAGAATGGGGTTGGAGTGGATGGCCCACGAGGTCTCTTACAACTAAATTATCCTATGATTCTACTGAATTATGAGACTGGTAGTGTGCAGAGGAGCATTTAGAGTTCTCAGCCAAAAGGCTTTCATATTTCAGGATTCAACAGGATGGAATTATAGGTGTTCGAGTGGAATGATAGTGTCATCGGTGAATGGCCTCCAGGACTGTTCAAGCAACAGCTGATATGACTACATAGGCCAGTAGAGAGGAGCCACAAAAAGCAACAATTTAATAATAATAATAATAATAATAATAATAATAATCTTTATTTATACCCCACCACCATCTCCCCGAGGGGACTCAGAGCGGCTTACATGAGGCCAAGCCCAACAACACATCAATAAAAACAAGCAATAAGCAAATAAAACAATACAATTAATATAACTCACATATAGCCAATAGCATGCAAAGTTTCAAAACTTATGGCCGGGCCAGATGTAATAGTTAAAATTTAAAAAATAAACGCTGAGCATGAACAGAGGTAGGATGTATCTAGTAGGAGGGTTATGAAAGAAATGTAGGGAGAGCAACCCAACGGGTGATTAAAGTGTTTCTGAGGACATTTTGCAGGGAATTGTTTCCTTTATTCAAGGAAGGCACACTGGAACAGCCACGTTTTCAGGCTCCTCCTAAAGACTGCCAATGTGGGGGCTTGCCTGATATCCTTGAGGAGTGAGTTCCAGAGTCAGGGGGCCACCATAGAGAAGGCCCTCTCCCTCGTCCCCACTAATCGTGCCTGCGAAGGAGGCGGGAGCATGAGCAGGGCTTCTCCAGATGGTCGAAGAGTTCGCTTGGGTTTGTACACAGAAATGTGGTCATGCAGGTAGGTTTGTCCCAAACTGTTCAGGGCTTTGTAGGTAAGAATCTGCACCTTGAATTGGGACCGGAAAATGAACTGCAGCCAAATGAGTTCCTTAAACAGGGAGGTTGACCGCTCCCTGTTAGTCACTGAGTTGAATCTTGATAGGACTTGACAAAGAAAAGGGTCACTTTTCTTAACTGCAATTCATGAAGAGTGCATAGAATTTTTCCAAACTGTTAATACAACCACCGTGCAAGTGAAGGAAAGCTATCCAGATGCATTATAAATCATAATGTAAATATCAGATATGCAAGATGTATTTTCATTCACTGGACCAAACTGGGCACAAATACCCAAAGTACCCACATATAAATGCTAGTGGGGTTGGGGGAGGATTGATTTTGTCATTTGGGAGTTGTAGTTGCTGGGATTTATAGTTCACCTATAATCAAAGAGAATTCTGAACTCCACCAGCGATGGATTTGAACCTAATTTGCCACACACAACTCCCATGACCAACAGAAAACACTGGAAGGGTTTGGTGGGCATTGACCTTGAGTTTGAGAGTTGTAATTCACCTATATCCAGAGAGCACTGTGGACTCACGCAATGGTGGATCTGGACCAAACTTGGCACAAATACTCAATATGCGCAAATGTAAACACTGGTGGAGCCTGGGGCAAATAGACCTTGACTTTTGGGAGTTGTAGTTGCTGGGATTTATAGTTCATTACAATCAAAGAACATTCTGAACTCCACCAAAAATAGAATTGGCTTAAACTTCCCACATGGAATCTGCATGACCATCAGAAAATACTGTGTTTTTGGATGGTCTTTGGCGACCCCTCTGACACCCCTTCGCGACCCCCTCAGGAGTCCCGACCCCCAGGTTGAGAAACACTGAATTAGACACACGTCAACATTGTGTTGGTGGCTGTGTATATTGTACTTCAAAAGAAGATGTTTAAAGTACAATTCCAGTGGTGCAGCGATTGTAAGGATAAGAACTGTTGAGCACAGAAACCATCAATCACACCTTCAGGATTATCTGTGCCCTTAGTTGCAATGTTCACAAAACAAATACCGTATATTCTGGCATGTAAGACTACTTTTTAACCCAAAAAATTCTTCTCAAAAGTCAGGGGTTGTCTTATACGAGGGAGTCATCTTATACATAAGGGAGTAGTCATAAACACGGGAGTAATCTTATACGCTGGAGTAGCCTTATGAGTCTTATATGCGGGAGTAGTCTTGTACGCCGGGAGTCGTCTTATAGAGCGGGTGCTGAAACTTCCAATCTGGATGGAGAATCTGTGGTTGCTGCACATTGTGGGGAGAACTCAAAAATGGCAGTGGCCGCGTCCCTACCATATGCAGCGACTGTGTGCCATCGCGCCTGGGGGCTATAGCTCTTAGTGAAAGAAGTATGGACGTGACATCTTTCCCCAGGGGATTGCTTCTTGCCCTCCTTTAGGAAACTGGAACTCTCAAAGACCCAAAATACTGTAGATAACTCAAAATAAGTTTTATTGTTCACAAAATGTTATCTCTTTAAGGCAATAAGCTGGAAGTTTCAAAGGGGTGAAGGAAAATGTACATTACAGTCTCTGGTTGTCTTGGATCCAAGAAGTTTTGAAGCTGAGAAGCTTTTCCAGGTCCCTCTTTCTCAATGGCTGTAAATGCCGGAGTGATCAACAACCCCAGTCCAGATGGCCTATGTTTGAAGACACGGGGTCTTCCTCTGGTGCCAAAGGAACTAGTCTGAAGGCGCTTGAGACTTCCCAATGTCATTCAGGTTGGTCTGAACATGAAGCATAAGTCTCAAGGGGAAAAACCTCAGAATTGGTGTTGAGAGGTAATTTAATCAGGGGCTTTTAGAGCCAAGTCTCTTACTCACGTCCATCTGATAGAAACGCTGATGGCAGGGGGAAAAAGGGAAGCACTCCCCTCCTCCAGGAAGAGGTGGAGCCAAACAATTGAGCTGAAAAAGCAATTCAACTGGTGCAAACAAGACTGATTGACAGCTATAAATAATCAATCAATCCAACTATACATAAGCAGGGGGAACAGGCAGGATTAAGCATGATACAACAGTTTAAATCTTGCAACTAACAGTTCTACACATAGGTGGCGCCACTCGCGCAGTCACAGATTGTATGAAAGCATTAAGGGCAATGCTGTACAAG